GTTTTCTAATACTTTGTTGAGTATTTTTGCATCTGTGTTCATCAGGGATATTGGTCTGTAGTTTTTTTGTTGTGTCTTTGCTTGGTTTTTGTATTAGAGTGATGCTGGCTTTAAGGAATGAGTTTGGAAGTATTTCCTCATATGCTACTTTTTGGAAAACTTTAAGGAGAATGGGTATTATGTCTTCTCTAAATGTCTGATAAAATTCAGCGGTGAATCCATCTGGTTCGGGAGCTTTGTTCTCAGGTAGTTTTTTGATTACCGATTCAATTTCATTGCTGGTAACTGGTCTGTTCAGATTTTCTGTTTCTTCCTTGGTCAGCCTTGGAAGGTTGTATTTTTCTAGAAACTTGTCCATTTCTTCTAGGTTATCCAGCTTGTTAGCACATAATTTTTCAAAGTATTCTCTAATAATTCTTTGTATTTCTGTGGTGTCCATAGTGATTTTTTCTTTCTCATTTCTGATTCTGTTTATGTGTGTAGACTCTCTTTTTTTCTTGGTAAGTCTGGCTAGGGATTTATCATTTTGTTTGCTTTCTCAAAGAACCAGCTCTTGGTTTCATTAATTTTTCTATTGTTTTATTCTTCTCAATTTTATTTATTTCATCTCTGATCTTTATTATGTCCCTCCTTCTACTGACTTTGGGGCTCATTTATTCTTCTTTTTTCTAGTTTCAATAATTGTGAATTTAGACTGTTCATTTGGGTTTGTTCTTCCTTCTTTAAATAGGTCTGGATTGCTGTATACTTTCCTCTTAGAACTGCCTTCGCTGTGTCCCACAGAAGTTGGGGCATTGGGGCATTGTGCTGTCATTGTCATTTGTCTCCAAATATTGCTTGATCTCTGTTTTAATTTGGTTATTGATCCATTGATTATTTAGGAGCATGTTGTTAAGCCTCCATGTGTTTGTGAGCCTTTTTGTTTTCTTTGTACCGTTTATTTCTAGTTTCATATCTTTGTGATCTGAGAATTTCGGTCTTTTTGAATTTGCTGAGATTCTTTTTGTGGCCTAGTATGTGGTCTATTCTGGAAAATATTCCATGTGCACTTGAGAAGAATGTGTATCCTGCTGCTCTTGGGTGGAGTGTTCTATAGATGTCTGTTAGGTCCATGTTGTCTAATGTGTTGTTCAATGCCTCTATGTCCTTACTTATTTTCTGTCTGATTGATGAGTCCTTTGGAGTGACTGGTGTGTTTAGTGTCCTAAAATTAATGCATTGCATTCTATTCCCCCCATTAATTCTGTTAGTATTTGTTTCACATATATAGGTCCTCCTGTGTTGGGTACGTATTTATAATGGTTATATCGTCTTGTTGGACTGATCCCTTTATCATTATGTAATGTCCTTCTTTATCTCATGTTACTTTCTTAGTTTTGAAGTCTATTTTGTCTGATACGAGTACTGCAACACTTGCTTTTTTCTCCTTATTGTTTGCATGAAATGTCTTTTTCCATCCGTTCAGTTTCAGTCTGTGTGTGTCTTTGGGATTGAAGTGAGTCTCCTGTAGGCAGCATAAAGATGTGTCTTACTTTTTTACCCATTCTGTAACTCTGCGCCTTTTGATTTGTGCATTTGGTACATTTACATTTAGAGTGATTATTGACAGATATGTACTTATTGCCATTGCAGGCTTTGGATTTGCGGTTACCAAAGGTTCAAGGGCAGTTTCTTTACTATCTAGCAGTCTACCTTAACTCATTTATTACTCTATTATAAACACAGTGATGATTCTTTTTTCTCTCCCTTCTTTTTCTTCCTCCTCCAATGTTTATATGTTAGGTGTCATAGTCTCTTTGTATATCCCTTGACTGACTTTGTGGGTAGCTTATTTAATTTTGCGTTTGGTTTGTATTTAGTTGGTCTGCTTCCTTTGCTGTGGTTTTATTTTCTCTGGTGACAGCTATTTAGTCTTAGGCACACTTCCAGCTAGAGCAGTCCCTTTAAAATATACTGTAGAGATGGTTGTTGAAGGTAAATTCCCTCAATTTTTTCTTATATGGGAATTGTTTAATCTCTCCTTCACATTTAAATGATAATTTTTCTAGACAGAGTATTGTTGGTTTGAGGCCATTCTGTTACATTGCATTGAACATATCATGCCACTCCCTTCTGGCCTGTAAGCTTTCTGCTGAGAAGTCTGATGATAGCCTAATGGGTTTTCCTTTATAGGTGATCTTTTTTCTCTCTCTGGCTTCTTTTAATACTCTGTTCTTGTCTTTTATCTTTGCCATCTTAATTATTATATGTCTTGGTGTTATCCTCCTTGAGTCCCTTGCGTTGGGAGATCTGTGGACTTCCATGGCCTGAGAGACTATTTCCTTCCCCAGATTGGGGAAGGTTTCAGCAATTATTTCTTCACTTTTTCTTTCTCTTCTTCTGGTACTCCTATAGTACAAATATGTTCTGTTTGGATTGGTCACACAGTTTTCTTAATATTCTCTCATTCCTAGATCCTTTTTTCTCCCTCTGTGTCAGCTTCTCTCTATTCTTGTTAGACTCTGAGATCTAGTCCATTAACTGTCTCCTCCACCTCACCTAATTTGCTTTTAAATCCCTCCATTGTTTGGTTCATTTCAGTTATCTCCTGAATTCATCCCTTAGCTCTTGAATGTTTTTCTGTAGCTCCAATAGCGTGCTTATGACTTTTATTTTGAATTCTTTTTCAGGAAGATTGGTGATTTCAGTCTCACTGAACCCTCTTGCTGGTGTTTGAGGGATTTTGGATTGAACAACTTTCTTCTGCCTTTCCGTAGTCCTGGAGTGATGGGAGTGGTTGCCGGCGAGTGGCGCGGGGGTCAGCTGAGAGAACAAAGTCCTTTCCTCCTTCCCAGTTGCTGTACCTGTCTCCGCTGTCTGTGCTGGTTAACCGCATGCAGGGAGCAGCCTGTGGGTTATTCCCCTAAACTGCCATGGGCAGGTGGCCCTCAGTATGGCCTAGGGCGATAGCGGGGGTCACAGGCGAGTGGCTCGGGATCTTCCGTGAGAACAATGCCCCATTCATGCCTCCCAGTCTCAGCGCCTGTGTCTGCTGTCTGTGCCGGTTAATCTTGTGCAGGGAGCAGCCTCTGAGTCTGGGCCAGTTAGCCATGGGCAGGGAGAATCCTCTGCATTAAGCTGTGTAGTTGCCATAGGCAAGGTTGCCCTCCTGCTGGTCTGCAGCAATGGTGGGAACAGCCTGTTTGCGTGCAAGTGCCGGCCAGGGGGATGGAGCGGCAGGCTGCTTATCAAGATGAGGGGCCCTTTGTGGCTACGTTGCCAACCAGGGGGATAGGGCTCCTGAAGCTCCTGAGAGTTCCCAGCCTCCTGGGCTGAGTGTGCCAGGACAATTTTGTCCACCTGTTCCTTTTCCTAAACCTTTGCCCCTTTCAGTCTTTTAAAGCACCTGCTTTTCTTTTGTCCTAGGGCAGCCAGTTGTGGGAACCTGTTCGCAGTCTTAGTCTCAGACTTTGCTTTCAGCTACTCAAATCTTCAGAGCACCATGCAATGTGGGTCTGTGCTCCCGGTGTAGATTTCTAGGACTGGGTATTTATCCGTCCTGTGTTTCCACTAACCACCCCCAATCCCTGATTCTTTTCCTCCTGCTGGTGAGCTGGGGATGGGGGTAGTGCTTGGGTCCCACCAGGTCACGGCTTTTTACTTTACCATTTTCTGTGAGATGTTGACTTCTCCCAGATATAGACTGGCTGGTGTACTGTTACTTCTGTTTACTCTTTTAGGAATAGTTGTATTTGCTGTATTTTAAAAATATATGTGGTTTGGGGAGGGATTTCCGCCACACTACTCATGTCGCCATCTTTTCTCCATAGTTTTTTTTTGGAGAATGTCAGAGGGTTGAAATCACCAGTCCGGAGCCTCATCAGATTGATTTCTTTCACTTAGTGGTGTCATTAAGGTTTCATAGCTTGAAAGTTTATTTTTTAAAATTTGCTGAGTAATATCCCATCATCTGGATAGGCCACAGTTTATCCATTCTCCCACTGAAGGGCATTTAGGTTGCTTCCATGTTTTTGCAACAATAAATTGAGCTGCTATAAACTTACCTATGCAGGTTTCTGTGTGAACAAGTTTTCAATCTGCTGGGTGAACACCAAGGAGTGTGTAAGAGTCTGCTTCTCCCACCTTCCTACCTCAGCTGCTGGAGGAACTTTGCTGATGCCCCACCTCTTGAGCTGGAACATTCCTTCCTGTGGAACCCAGAGCCCCTTCCTTCTAAGACACTTCCGTAGGTTTCTTCACTGGTGGTGTGCATTTGGCTCCCACTCAGTGACATTGCAGGTGTTACTGAGGCCTCCTGTCAGAGTTGTCACACGTGGTCTGTCGTGGCCATGCCGCATGTAAGGTTACGTGCTTCCTGGAGTGATGCACAAAAAATGCCGTATTTCGTGTGTACCTGTCAGGTGGAGAGCCTCATCACCTTTATGGGTGTGACTGTGTCCCAGAAAAAGATTAAGTGCTGAGTTTTGAGTTCTTAGAGGGTTGGAGGTATCATTTCAGCTTTTTGTGTTCTTGCATGTTGTAGCCACTTTGTGGCTGTTAGTGGAATAAAAATCCCAAATAAGACCCAAACCAGCCCCAGCCGTGCAATGTGGGAAGATGGCAGCATTCCAGTAGTCTGTTCGTATTTGTGGATTGTAATTCACCTGGATTCCCATCCTCCCTTCTGAGCCTCAGCACTGGTACCTCGAGAGCATGAAGGACCAGGACTGTGTTTTTTGCTTGTGAACAGGATTGTCTGGGAGCTGTAAAAACAATGACAGATGAGACCACTGAGTTAGGCATCCTTCATGTTCCAGGGCTGGGCTTAAGGGTACGTAAATGCTATGAGCCTGGCTTGTGAGGTTTCATTTGTGTGAAGTGCATTTCCATTTTGCTGATGGTAGTGTGTGCCAGCCTATTGCTTTTTCATTCTCTGCTGACCAGGTTTTACTTTTTTTCTACAGAATGGGTGTCCTGCACCAGGCAGGTGAACTCATCACTGGATTGCTGTTTGATTTTAGGTATTCAAAACCTTTGATGAGATGGCCCGTCAGGATGATGAGAAGAGGAGAAAGGAACTGGAAGAGAAAGTCCGGAAGAAGGAGGAAAAGGAGGCCACCGCCGCTGCGGCCGAGCTGGAGCCAGTCCCAGCGCCAGTTCAGGAGGTGGAGATCGACTCCACCACAGACTCGGACAGGCCTCGGGGGCCTCTGGGCCCACAGGGCACTGTGCAGGAGGCAGCCCGCAGCTCAGAGGAGGCAGAGCTGCCGGGAGCGCCAGCTGCTGTGCCTGAAGCCCCGAGGGGACCACTGGTTCTTCCCGGGTAAGGATTTCCACTTTGCAGCCTTTTTTCCCTGGGCATCTGCTGGTTGGGTTTGCCCTCAAGTACTGTTCATGTGGTGACGCACCAATTCTCAGCATTTATTTATCTCTTCGTGTCTGTAAACTGCATTGCGGCACTTTGGTTACATAGGATGGGACATCAAGTTGCTTTGGCCTTCTTTCTGCTTTGGAGGTGGAGTATTCATGTGTCTGCAGTCGCAGAGCTAGTTGAGAGCTAGAGCCAGAGCAGCACTGGGCTCCTGGTTATGCTGAGGGACCTACTGATCCTTGGGGGCTTTGCCTCAGGGTCTTGACTCTGTGTCTTTCCCTGTAGGAGCAGTGCTGGGACATCTATCTACAGCCCTTGGTCTGAGGTGCACCTGCAGAGGAGAGGCTGTCTGATCGGGGGCCTGTGGACCCAGAGTCCCCTTAAGACTGCCACTCTGTAAATGTGGCAGTGTGCCTTCCGTGCCTCATCTTCATGAAGGGAGACAGAGATGCTTGCAGGCTGCTTCAGTACTGTGAGCCAGAGGTCCTGCAGCTGAGACAGCCAGGGCTTGGCTCAAGCCGGGTGCTGTCCTGTGCTCGCTTTGTGGGACTCTGTTCCCTTGGGTTTCTCTCTGGGTGAGAAGAACTGCTCATCCCATGTGAGCTGAGACCGAGTCTGAGAGATGGGACAGCTTGATGCCCTGGCCTCTGCTCCAGGAGAACTGGATCTCTCCCTCTGGAAGGACGGCTCCACCTCATCCCTTCTCTGTCTTAACTTCCCTTCTGCTCTTCCTTCTCCATGCACTCTCCCTCCCACCCACTGGGGGCGGCTTTGAATGGAGTTCCTGGTTGAGGAAACAACAGGAAAGTGGAGTAGGGGCAGGCCCTGCTTGTGAGGGCAGGCTTCCCTGAAGGGGAGGTTTATCCCTGGACAGCAACTTGTCCTGTTTCTGGAGACTTCCACATGGGTCCCCTCTGTCACGTAGGCCCATTCTTTGTTGTCAGACTCTTAATAGAACTCTGCTGCTGGTTCCGTTTCTTTGGTTGAACCCTGATGTACACAGGTATTCTCATGATTGAGCGCTGTGAGTAAAGCAGGCTTCAAATGAATAACAAATTTGGAAAACATAAGGTGCATGCAGCAAAAAAGCCTGGCATGAACTAGATTATTGACAGTGGCTTTCACAATGTGGTGGGTACCAAGTGTTTTTATTGTCATCTTTGGCCCTGACTACGTTTTCCTAATATTTCTGCAGTGAGCATACATTTTGTTTTACTAACTTTTTTGTATTTTTGTAATTTCTGAAAGCTTTATTAGAAGAGGGGGTTTGTTTGATTTTGAGGAAGAGACTAGAATAGCTGCCTCATTGTCCCACAGAGACCCCATTATTTACTTCTGAACCAGTGGGTTGTGCTCTGGGTTATAGTTGGTTAGTTTCTGAGTCCACCACAGTGTTAGTGTGGAGAGGAGCCTCGGGCGCATTCTCGATGGCAGAGGCAAGTGGTGCATGACCAGCGCTTCTGAGAACTGGGGGTTTTGTGGCCTTGTGGTGTGACTGGCTTTCCATGAGCAGGACAGGAGGCTCGGTACGGACCGCGTTCTGTGGGGAGTGCTGTGGCTAGTCTGGCGGTAGAGTGTGAAAGCCTGCCTGTCCCCATTGCCCCTTGGGACACTCTTGTTAGTCCCAGGATCACTTATCCTGTAAACTGCAGACCTGGAATTCTTTTAACCAAGTCATTCAAGGAGGCTGCTCTTTAGGTCCTTGGCACCCTATCCAAACCAGGTACCTAGGATCCAGGTCTGCAACACTTCATTTCAAATAACTCCCGTTTGCTGCCGATTTGCTGGTGGTTCTGCCCCCTGTTTGGTAGTGGTGATGGCAGACTCTCTTCTCTGAGTCTACAGAGAGTCACACACATTTGTTTAATTCAAACAAATTCAGCATAGAAATGGAATAATGGAATAAGGTAACAAAAATGTATGTATCTGTATTTTACATGTGTATTTTTAGAATAGGTTGTTTGTTGTATATGGGATGATTTGCCTAACAGGACAGGTCGCTGTTGTGGAGCAGTTCAGTGTTGACAGATGCAGAGCCAAAGGCCATTCCAGTGAGGATGCGGAGGCCCTGCAGCTCCAGTCTGGCTTCCTCTCTGGAGTCATCCCCTGCTCCCCCAGGTCCTGCCCACTGTGGGTCTGCCTACTGCCTAGTGGACCCACATTCACTTACATATAATGATATACAGATTGTGTACTGGTTTTGGGGTGACAGGCATTTGAGGGGATTCTAATTTCCCTGTCACTCTGACTTTGTCCTTGTTCCTGCTCTTCTGTCACTGTCAGGAGCAGAGATGCCCCTATGCCAGTGCTTCAAATGCCCTTGTATCCCTTAGAGGAGAGAGAGAATGTGGGCCCTCTGCCATCTCCTCGCCCTCATGAGGCAGCATTGGGAAGGTGCCTGTGGTCTGTGGAGCGTCAGAGTGAGTGGGTGCAGAGTCAAGGTGAGGCCAGTGTGGGCGCAGCTGCCGAGGGGCTCTGTGTTTACGTGGAGGCGGCCAGGACTGTAGGAGGACAGCGGGGCACAGAACAAACTACCCCCGTCACATCACTGCCCCGGCCACTGTCAGGTGCTTCTCAGAGCTGCCCTCCCTGGGTTCTCTCTAGGGTGCCATCTGGGGTCTGGCTCTGCGTCGCTGCACTGGGTCCTGGAGTTCACCTCCTGATGGGCAGGTTCTGCTGTAGGTGACACCGTGGTGACTGCATTTGCTGGTGCTGGGATGTTCCTGAAAATGTACAAACAGCTGTGCCCCTTGGGCTTTTGTCTTTACAAATCACAAACAGAATTCTTCAGAAAGGAAGCGAGAGAAGAGTAGCACTAAGCTGTTGTCATGCCTAGAAACAATGCCTCTGCCCTAGGGGCCAGGCTGGATGAGAGCTGGCATCCCCGCTGTCCACCTTTAGTGGTGAAACCTGCCTGGGGTCTGCGCAGGCCCCTTCTACCCTGTGCAAGCAGAGCTGTGTAAAATGGGGTGAGGGCAAGCTGCCTGGGGAAGGACAGCATAGTTTGGAAGGGAGATGTTAGGTTCCTCATGGTGCCCTGGTGGATGCTTTGTCTCCCAGATGGTCCTCTGTTCAGCCACCCTGGCACTGTGCGGTTCCAGCGCAGGGCTGGGCCACTGCACCCCAGAGCCTAATGCACCCGGTCCCTCTATGCCCCTCCACAGGTCACTCTGCCTCCTGTGAGAGTGTGTTGTCCTCACCTGGTGGAGGCTGTCTTCCCCATGGTTCAGATCAAGTATGTGCTGAATGTGCTCCTCAGCCTCTTCTCTGGTTCTGCTCACCTGCCTGGTGTCTCTGCCCTGGAGGTTCCTTGGGGGGCTGTCTGGAGAACAGGAAAGAGTGCTCTTGGCTGGGCTTCCCGTCTGTGTGCAGTCACACTGTCCGAGGGCTTGTCATACAGGCAGCTGTGTCTCAGTGGGTCCCAGCTCTCCAGAGCCTGGTGCAGGAGGCCCTTTGAGAGCGGCCTATGGACAGACCAGACACTACCCATACCCACCCTGTGGGCTGGGGCCGGGGATGGCTTGGGCTCATGGAGATACACACGTGCAGCCCCTCGTCAGCACTGCTTCCCCTTCCAAGACGTGAGCAGGCTGCCCGGTTCTCTCATGTACTCCATGTAGGCTGTTTGGGAAATGAAGATATGGGTACAAAGAAACAAGTGTCCAACACTCTGTTAGCTTTCTGGGATACTGTCTGCAGTGTTTTCTGTGCAAGTCCCTGTGTGTGACCACCCACCTGCACCGCACTCTGGACCCTCAGTGTCTGCTGCAGACTACTCCAGGAGATGGCCTAGTCCCTGTTGGCAGCTCAGCCCAGGGTGCTCGGGGACAGAATGCGAACTCCCATGGCATTTCCTAGGTTGCAGGGAAAGTAAATACAAAATATAAAGAATAAAAATTTTGGAAAACATAAACATTTTACAAAGGAAGGTATGGATAGTGGTTGCATTTAGGGAGAACGCACTTCCAATTACCCTTGTAATTTTCAGAAATGTTTGCCTTCAATCCAACTGCCAATTTGCTACATCCAGTAACTGCCAGATTGTGGGAAACTCAGTGTCCAAACAACCTAATTTTTTTTTTTTTAACAAATACACTTTGAGAAAATAAAAGAAATTGAAGGTGAGCTACGAATGATGTGTTATTGGAAATTATAGATTTAAACTTTCACTAGCATATGAGAAAACTGGAAACTTAAATACTGGTTGAAATATTTACAGATGAAATGATGAGGTATTGACTTCAGAGTAACATGGGAGGGGAGACGTGTTGGGGTTGGCAGCGAGGATGTGGAGGTTCACTGCGTTCTTGTCTCCTTTCCTCACCTTTTTATTTAAGTTCTAACTAATAGATTTTTGCAAGTGCATATATTTCCTTTTCAGTGGAAACAAACAAGTGAACATAGAAAGGTATGCTTCTTTGGTGTTAAAGAAAAATCCTGAAGCAGAAGCTGATTGTTCGCTTTGAAAAGTATCTTGCAGATCCTCCTGGTTATAGTTGCTTTCTCCCTAGCACAGCAGTGCAGACATCAGTGTCTAGGCCTCTGAGCCCTGCTTCCCTTCCTGGTGACTGGCCAGCTCTGTCTTGCAACTGCATTGAGGCACAATGCTCAACCACTGTACATGTTGGTTTCTCCATCTGCACAGGGAAGCAGGTTGGGTTCTCACATCTGTGCAGTTGCAGGGGGAAGACTCCCAGGTGACTCACGCCTCTTCCCCCCTCTCACATGCCCTCTGACACCCCTTACGCCCACGGCTAGGATGCCAGGTCACTCTCCGAGATGGCTTCAGAATCTGCCAGACTTAGACGCTGCTGTAAGATAAAATAGGTCAGGCTCTTCTAAAAACAAAGCCTGTCAGCTGTAAATGAATCTCAAAATAAAAACAAAAACACAGTGGTTCTAGAGGGAAAAAGTACCTCTGAGGAATAACCTACATCAGGTCTTCCTGCCTT